CATAGAGGAGATCGGGCATTTGCGGTTGTGGCACCGAAAATGTGGAATTATCTACCTCTCCACATTATAAAGGCCCTAACTGTTACTTTTTAAATTGCATCTTAAAACATATTTTTTTACTCTGACTTTCGAAACTGCATGAGAGTTACCAATTCTTTTATTTTAATTTTCTTACCTGTCGTTGTTGTCAATGTCATTGTTTAACTGTTACTCTGTACAGCACTTTGGTCAGCTCCCTGTTGTTATTAAACGTGTTTTATAAATAAATAAATTAATGAAATTACTGATTCTTCAGGGTGCTTTTCAGTAAATATACTGCAGGTGCTGCTACTGAATTAAGAAAGGAAACAGATGTATTCTTTAGGCCTTAGTTACTAAAGACAGACTTGGCTCTGCAGATGTGTGAGCAAAAGGCACATGGATATTTAGGATATGCTGACTCTTTGAAGAGCAGAATACAACTGCAGGTGCTGGAGGTTTTTATTAAAAAATTTTCATACTCAGCTAATTCTATGCAAAGAAAAACATCCTATTTACGCTGAAATGCAAAGTAGAAAATCAGGGATTTAACTCTGTTTCTTCAAGATGAGCTGTATTTGTGCTCAACAGATGAGAGAAACTTAAATCTGAGCTGGAAGCTGACACAAACCCCTTCATGCTTCCCCTGTTTCACTCCTAATTTTGTGCTGTTTCACAAGTTTTTTTTGTTTTGTTTTTTAAATCATCTGTTCCTGTGTTTTCTGCCACCAGCTGTTCCTGCCATCCATGCGGAAAAAGAGTGGCCTCAGCAGCACAGAGGCCTCAGTGGACGGTGACACACTGACTGCCCACTGGTTCGTGGATGACATGTACACTTTTGAGAACGTAGGCTTCACTAACGACGTGGGGAGGATCAAGTACCTCATCTGTGCAGACTGCGAGATTGGACCAATCGGCTGGCACTGTTTGGATGACAAGAAAAGTTTCTACATTGCTTTGGACAGGGTGAACCACGCATAGTTTGAGTGCATATGTAAGTGAGTGCACGAGAACTTGAAAATCATGTGTTGGCAGGCAGAGCATCAGTTCATGGATTTACTCCCAGAGGTGACCCCGACTTCATCCACCACACATGCTTACAGATACTGGTGTGTATGTCTTTAACGGTGACAGGACTGTGTTGTGTTCATTCTCATGTTTCATGTTGACAAGTTTCACCATCTTGTTCTAATAAAAAAGGTTTTTAGGAAATTGATGTTGAATGCAGTCTTTTGCAGCTTCCTCCTGAAAGAAAATTTGGTTTCATCCTTTATTTTAGCATATTCTTTTATAATCAGTTAAAAGATGCCAGTTGAACACTGAAACATTATGGAGCACAAAACTGCAGGTAATCACTCAGTTTATCCTATGACAGTCCTGGGAAAAGTACACTGATGATTCAGTAGCTTGTAGAAGCACTTTTAGCAGCAACAACTTTAAGGAATCGTTTTCGGTCTGACTTTGTCAGTGTCTCACATCGAGGAATTTTGTCCCAATCTTCTTTATAGTGTTAATTCAGTTCATTGTGGTTTACAGACATTCATTCATGCACAGCTCTCACAGTCCCCATCACAGCATTTAATCAGGTTGAGTTCTGGACTGACTGGACAATCGCAACACCTTGATTCTTTTCTTTTTCAGCCATTCTGCTGTAAATTTGCTGTTGTGCTATTGCTCATTGTCGTGTTGCCCCAGTGTCGGCCAAGCTTGAGAATACTTTGGTATACAAAGGAGTTCATGGTCGACTACAAGATGCCTGAGTCCTGTGGTTACAAATCAAGCCCAAATCATGATCCTTCCACCACCATGTCTAACAGTTGATATGAGCTACTTGTGCTGATAGGCTGTGCTTTTGTTTTCTCCAGATGTGGTGCTGGACATTATGGTCAAATATCTCCACTTTGGTCTTGTCTGTCTAAAGGACATTGTTCACAAAATCTTATGATTTGCTCAGATGAAACTTTGCGAACCTAAGCTGTGCTGCCATGTTTTTGTAGAGAGAATAGGCTCTCACATGGAAGGCCTTTCAAACAAGCCACACTTGCTCAGGCTTTTTCTAATTGTACTATCATGAACCTTAACATTTAACATGATAACTGAGGCCTGTAATGTCTGAGATGTAGCTTTTGGAATTTTAGTTTCTCAGTCTTGACTGAATGCTCCAGAATAGCAAACTGCCAAAACTTCTGCTTTTAAATAAGTGCACACACATTTATTTGGCAGCACCTGACAAATATTTACTCTCTTAATACATCTGGAAACTGTAAGAGTGTACTTTGCTTTTCATAAGTCAACACAAAGTGCTGCAAATACATTTTTTCCATCACATGACTGCATGTAGGTTTTAGTGTATTTCACAATTTTGGACTTCTGGTCCCAAAAACAAGTAAAACTGGAAATGCTAAGTTACTTGCCATCTGAAATTCAGTTTTGTACATTATTCATTTAAATCCACAAATGAGGTGTTAACATGTGAGCAAGTCTGCATTATCGATATGGTGTTGGAAGCATTTATTACATTTGCATCCAGTCTGATCCTCCTTGCAAAGCAAAGTTTTAAGTTGTAGATTTTATAGTTCTGAATATAATTTTGTTCAACCCAACGTCTCCAGTTTCTCTGTAATAATTTATGTTCTGTGGTTCACGCTATGAGAGGTCTACTGTTCATCACTAAGGGTCCTGATTTTATAGCTGCCAGCACATTTTCTTTGTGATGTGGTTCCAGATGCTCACACCTAGTAAGATGAGTCCCACCATGTGAGTTTCAGGGGTGGTATTAGTTGAAATACCTTGTGTGGTGGATGTGGGTTTGTGAAGAATGAAAAGATTTGTGTTCTGAAGACTACCGCTGTATAAATTATGTATTACTATGTCATTATGAGTTCAAAGGTACCAGAATGACGTAGTTCTTCACTTGCTTGGGACAGAAGGGAAGAAAATATCCAGTGCTAACAGCAGTTTTTATTAAGAGTGAGCATACATTAAAAAACACCTGCCAGTTTACCGTCCAACAGGAAGTTTAGGCGAAACAGAAAACAGGGACATTCAAATCAGCTCTATACAGTGCTGAGAAAAACAGTATTTGCCTGCTTCCTGAGTTCTTATTCTTTTTTGCGTATTTGTCACACATGTTTCAGATCATCAAACAAATTTTAATATGAGAGAAAAATAACCGAAATAAAGGCAAAGTCCAGTTTTTTAAATATTTTATTCATTAAGGGGGAAAAGCTATTCAAACATGCCTGGTCCTGTGTGGAAAAGGAACTGCCCCTCTTGTTAAATCATGAATTAACAGTTAATAACCACAATTTTTTAGAAAACAGCTCATTTTCACTAGCCTCACCCATGCCTGACTACTCCCTGAAATCGCTTAAATAGAACCTGTCTGACAGAGTGAAGTTGGCTAAATTATCTCAAAAAGCAACGAATCATTCCACGATCTAAAGAAGCAACTGAGAAATGAAGTCAGTGACATCTCAGTCTGGAAAGGGTTATAAAGCAATTTCCTAAGGCTTTGGAACTCTAGTGAACTACAATGAGAGCCATTATCCACAAACAGAAGAAAACTTGGGACACTGTTGAACCTTTCCAGGGGTGACCGGCCTACCAAAATTACTCCAAGAGCGCATTAATGACTTCTCTAAAGAACCGCAGGCTTCACTTCCCTCAGCTTTGGTCAGAGTTCATGATTCAACAATAAGAAAGAGACTGGTCAAAAATGGCATCCTCCATTTTTTTTTCCTTTTTCAAACACTGCTGAAAATAAACAGGACAAAGTCTTGTCTCATATTTGCCAAAATACCAAGACTTTTGGGATAATATTCTGTGGACTGATGGTTTGAGTCCTGTTACATCTGGTGTAAAACTAACATAGCATTTCATAACAACAGTCAAACATGGTGGTGGTACCGTGACTTAAGATCATGACAAAGCATTTCAATCGGCTTCAAGACCTCTTTAACTACCCCAAAACCTTTTTCTTTTTTTTTTTTGGGGGGGGGGGGTAGTCAAAGAGGTCCAATTCAGAGGTGGACTCGCTGGTGTGTTTCGGATGATTGTCCTGTTGAGTAACTTGAGTTAGTTCGAGTTTCTGGGCTTGACATTCTCCTTTGGGTACAGAGCTTAACCCTTTGACTGCCTCACCAAGAAAAATACAATGAAAAAATTATTTGTTCATATTTTCTATTCCTTTAGGTCAATAATGATCACAAAAATATAATGAAAAAATTATTTGTTCATATTTTTTTAATCCTGGAAAACCTTCCAATGTGGCTGAAAAGAAGAGTGAGACAAAATGAAAGATTATTTCCAAACCCAATTATTGGGTTTAGAGAGCAATTACTTTTCCACATAGCCTTTCTCTCTTAATAAATGAAACAATCATTTAAAAACTACATTTTGTATTTACACAGGTTATCTTTGACTATCACTAAGATTTGTTTTTGTTGATCTGAAGCATGCAAGTGTGACAAATATGCCAAAAACTGAAGAAGAAAAAAAAGCTTTGTTGTTATTGTTTTTTGGGTGGTGGTGGTCAGTTTTTGGCACAAAGAGTAGCCTTTCAGAGCCAAAGGCTACTCTTAGATGTTTAAAGCAATTGTAGCACACCCAACAAGCTATCGATAGCATAAAAATAATATATCGTATAATTATTATTGTTATTATAAATTTGGCGTCAAACAAATGAAAATGTTTATTTTAAAAACACAAACGGCTGAACTATCAACATATGACTCCTCTCTGCCAATCAACGAGCTTCTCTAGACCATTTAAAAACAAAGTGCCGGTCAGCGCGCAAAGATCTTCAAGGTGAGTTCGATTAGTAAGCACCGGGTAATGTCTGCTAGTCTTTCGCCTTAGCCGGGCGGAGTGAGGCTTCTATCTTTATTTGAGAAGGGGAGAACAGGAGCATTGTCTCACCACAGGGTGAGATAACCAAACGCACCAAACAAGGGAGCAATCATCTGTGAGGAAACCACTGAGCCAATAAGCTATATAGTCCTAAACTGTTCGCTACTAAAGTATTAACTACAGTATATTTTTAAAAACGCTGTGAAAACTAAAATAAAGTTACTCCATCTTACCACAGATTTTCAGCCATGTAAGTCCTTCGTGTTACGAAAGCACACCTTAAATTTGGTGTAATAAAATGTCAGTTTAGACACAGTCCGTTTTTTACTTCTATCTCGGTAGCAAAAGTGCATGTTTGCGCACGAAAACGGCGCAAAAATGACGTTAGCCTAAATAATTCGTGGGTGTCTACTTGTCGAAGCGGACGTGTACGTCCCCTCGCTGTCAGAGCTCGTCTCCAACTAGATAATTCGTCTTTGAGTTCAATGAGTGGAGAGTGGACATGAACTGAAAGACTGGAGATCAAAGCAAGCACAGACGGCTTGGAACCCCCTTTTTTAAAAAAATATTTCAGCTGGAGTCATAACGAAGATGCAACGATGACTCAGCCGCAGGTGAATGAGTTCATTCCTCCTCCCGAGTGCCCTGTTTTTGAGCCCAGCTGGGAGGAATTTGCCGACCCTTTTGCGTACATCAACAAAATACGACCAATTGCAGAGAAAACTGGTATCTGCAAGATCCGACCACCGCCGGTAAGTAATTCTTTTATTTTTTACAATTATTCGTGGTGTTTGCACGGTGTGCTGTCCTCTGCCGCTGTGGCTAATTTAGAAGGCAAAGTTGTGTTTTTAAGACAGGTTTCAACATGGCGGATTGCGCCTGCGAGTAAGAATAGTGAGCTAGCCCGAGCTGGACTGTGTTGTGTTTGTAACGGCAATGGGAAGCTCTCAGACACATGCCATTCAAGAGGAAACCTGTGTCCTGGTCGGGCTTAGTCGTAAAAACAAACCAGCCTGGATTCATGATAGAGGGTCGCCCAACTTAAAGAGCGCTATAAAAAAATAATTCAAACGCAAAAGTTTGCCTGTACGCAAAATATGATGCAAATTGTTTACGTTAGCGCAGAATGAAGTGCTTCCTGGAGTCTGCGCACGGAAATGGCTCGCCTAGACTTGACCTACTAATAATTTAACAACCATTTCTGCGCACTTGGTTAAATGTAAAGTCCAAGTATCTGAGCAGGATTTGACGGATTTAGACAGGGTGAATTAACCTGACTAGCATCAGTCGGGGCCCGTTTAAAGCCGCAGTTTTCTGACATCTCACGCTGGCTAACGTACGTGCTCGGTGGCCAACTGTTTATGGAGAAAAGGGTCGTAGAAACACGGCACTCAGTGGGGGACACTGTTTCTCTCTTTCATCGTAGTTTTATCAACTTTATCCACTCAAATTACGGTTATTCTCGACTGCTACTAGCGTTAGTTTATTAACCAGTTAGTTTTATACTTGCTGGCTAATCTTTATTTCGCTATTATGGAAGCAAATCCAGGGCTATTTTTTAATAATAATTCTAATTGGACGATTAGCCTGGCGTAATCTACACCTCTCTAACGTCTCAGGGGTCAAATATCAAAGTCTGTAAGGAAATACTGACAATAAAATGGCTTTCCCCCCCTTAAATATCTTAGAGCTAACATAATGCAAAAATAATGTCCCATTGACCTTATTTCTGAGACATGTGACAGTAGTGGGCATATATTTTATTCAAGGGTGTGTCCATGCGTTAAAAGGGTAGAACTGATTTTTTTTTCTTTCTTTTTTTTAAAATATGCCTGACGTAATTTTTTCCAGGTATTCTCTATGTCAACTTAAAAAGATAAAATATATATTTATTTTTTGCAAGGTCCTTGACATGGGTGGAAATGTTTTAACATGTGTGCATGCGTCTAAAGCAGAAATCAGGAAGCATGAAAAAAAAAAAAGGAGAAAAAAAAAGCTTATTTTGCACACTTTAACCCGTTGGGTATGAGTACAAGGGATTGAATTGTCATCAAAAGCGGATGGGTGGGGTGACTGCTTTCAGTGTTTGCTGGGTAAATGGCTGAAATGCACAGCTCATGTAAACAAAAGAAGCCAGTGGGGTAAATGTGAGCAAAGATTAGCTGCTGATAGTAGTTGGATTGATATTCGAGATCTATTTGTGCTGTCTAAACTATGATTTACATTTCACAATTATAAGTCAGCACCAGCAGTTTATTCTGGAATGTTTGGATCAAAATGTGGCTGAGGCAGACCAATAAATAATCTTAAATCCTTGAAGAGATGGAAACTGGGCTCTTGAGCTGGGTTTTCTACCAGGACAAATTTATAAGTTTGTAATTTTAATGTGTTTTTTTTAAAAACTGTTATTAATGTCTATTTGTGAAGAGAGAGATCCTGGAGTTTTATTTTTTGTCTGCAAATTGTGTGTGCAAATGGTGTATACAATCCAGAGATTATAGATTGGCTCTTATTTGAGAGCCCTGTTTCTTTGTTTCATTATTCTCTTTTAACCCTTTCCCATGTACAAACGGTTCAGACAATGTTTGAAAAAGGAAGTAAACACTGCACCACAACCTGTTTTCGATCAGTGATTTTTATTTGGTGCACGGTATACAGGTAGAGTTTCCTTCAGGGTTTTACATGGATCACATTTTGACTATAGAGGTTAGTAGCGCACATGCAGATGATTTTCGGGGACATTGCCAGGCCTGTTTGTGGTTAATTTCTCACAATTGTATTTGTCATTTTGGATTGAGATTGGAGGGCCTGAGTCATGTAGAGACCAGAATTTGTGCTTGCAGTCTTAACTACCATGGTCAGACTTGTGGAGGATGGTCAGTAAAACAGAGCACATTTCTATTTGTTTTCAAAAATGATTGTTTTGCTTTGGTCCCACAACATTTGTTAGACTAATCCAACAATAAGGTGGTGTTAATGCAGCTGTTGTTATCTCTTCTCTGGCCAGCATTTCACTCATTGTCCAGGCCCAGTAAATCTTGACTGTGACATTTTAAAGAGCCTCTGGTAATGCTGCACACAGTAGGCAGTCAGCCTTAACAGTACCGGTAGATGTTTGTGTTCATTTTTAAGAAATGTTGCAATAGTTGAAGATTGAAACACATCAGGAGCGTTAGACTAATTTGCAGGTCTCATTATCAGCCTGTATATGTAAATTTGCCACATTTCCTTCTCATTACAGTACTGTTTCAGTTGGTTTGGCATGTAAATGTAGTCGTCTTAAAAGAGAAAACAGACCTGTTTTGTTTTTTGTTTTTTAAGTAAAAATGGCTCCCCTTTTTGTATACTTATCACAGGTTAGGATGTTATCACAAATGACTAAAAGTTACAAAATCATAATCTATTGATATTAGATCCTACAGTGCAAACATATGTTATGCACATTGAGAACACAAGCTGTTTACAGCATCTGTTCATCTATTTTCCATCGGTATTAATAATATTTAGACGATTCAAAAAATGCTAACAATGCCATTGAAACATTAAAGAAAATGTAACCTGCATGTTTTGTTTAGTTTTGAATAACAATGATAATTTTCTACCCGAATGCTTCATGTTCTGACTCTAAGAATCCCACAGACTGAACATTTTGGCCTTTTTGACTCCAGAATAGACAAAACAGTACATTGGAAGACATCACTTTAGGCACAGAAAGTTTAATGGATACATGTTCACAATGTGGAAACTCTATCGACTAAACATTAGTCAATAATAAAAGGCACAATGCAACAACAAATAACTGAGAGAAGCTGTGGCTGCAGATTTATTGGGAGGTTTCTGTATAGTTGTTTTTATGAGTGCTTGTTACGCTATAGAAGAACAAATGTGAAACCTGAAAAGCTTATCTCCACAATAATTTTTTTTTTGTTTTTTTTGTTTTTTGTTTACTGTTCTTTGTTCTTAGGAAGCAGTTGAGACTGTCCTTTAACTGTATGACAGCATTTACCATTATCGGTTTGATAATATGTGAGAATAACACAGTTATAATAACACTCTGTTTTGTATCACACATTGAACTGTACAAAATTGAGATCATTTTCCTGAATCTTGAACTTGCACTTACAACTAGTCGTACAGGAAGTTGTGCAGTATAGCATGGTTAGTGTTTTAGTTTGTAAGACAGTTGTTTTGCTCAGTTGCTTCGCATGCGGTTAGACATCGAAGTGAAGTTTGTGTTTTTAAGTGAAAGTGGGGACAGGTTCTGTTAAATAATAGCTAATTAGCAGAAATAAAGAAAACCTATGTTTGACAAATTTACTACCTTTTTGTCATATTTACACTCATTATATTTAATAGCATTAAAATGTTGACTTTTCTGAAACAATGGCTTACTGTTTCTCATTATGCAATTGTCTTTGCCTCATTCTTATGTGCCAAGCTGCAGTACTCGCATCTTATTTTCAGGTATTGAAATTGAAGTATTTACATGGAGCTCAGATGGGTATAAAGCCTGAAAGACTAAAGCCTAATTAATTTGGTAACATCAGCTTTTTCCTCTAGGTTGGTTCATTTGAGTGTAATGATGATGATTACTGCAAGTAGACTTGGAATCTTGCTGTATATGATGATACTGCTGAAACTGAAAAATGTGCAAACAAAAGCATGTTTCAGTGAGTCTAATCGTCCCAGCTTTAGTCTAATCTTGCTTAAAATGGTCTGTCTTTTCATTTTGTTTTTTGTTTTTCCTTTACTCATTTCAGGATTGGCAGCCACCGTTTGCTTGTGATGTCGACAGACTTAAATTCACACCGCGAATACAACGGCTCAATGAGCTTGAGGTACATTTGTCATCTTTATATATTTACAAAATCCAGTTTTGCTCATCTCTTGTATTCAGGTATTGCCTCACTTGCTGTGCTTTTGTTCATTGTCCTTCAAAAAAAAAAAAAAAAATGGCAGCATCGTCAAAATATCTGATTCACTATCATGTCATGGTGAGCCGTGAAAAGACTGCAGACATATTTCCCTCTTTTAAAAAATGTTAATACTAGTAGGAGAGAATCAAAAAGATAGTAACTCAGTCATTTTATTTCTTTATTTTTTGTACTCTTCTTTTTGGAGCACTTAGTACTTCTCAGGTTATTTTCTTACAACTCCAATGCTTATTGTTTGAGGAGCTAAACAATTTTTCTTTTTTCCTTAAGGCTCAGACCAGAGTTAAACTCAACTTCCTGGATCAAATAGCAAAATTCTGGGAGCTACAAGGATGCAAACTGAAAATTCCTCAAGTGGAAAGAAAGATTCTGGATCTGTACCAACTGAATAAGGTGTGAAAATCCCCACTAGTGCTACAGTTATGAATCTAAGAGGGTGATCATGAATACGTTACAACTGAATTACAATTGATTTTTATGACTTGTGAATCAGCAGATGGGTGACAAATTAAAGGAAAAACCTGAACATTTAAGTACTACAGTGAGGAGCTGTGAGGCTAAGTATAAGAGGAGGGGGGATCATTTAGCTCAGTGGCCTCAAACTAGGGTTTGTGAGCCACAGATTGGGTAATTACATTAACACGGTATGGTACCTGGCATGTAGTGGCACGTAAATGCATCATCTGCGGTTGAGCTAATTAGGATAATGGAAAAATATTTAAGTCAGTTCACATTACTAAGTAATACAAAAGCCAAACCAGCTAAAATTAGAAAGTATGACAACATTTACCTCGATCTTGGCTTTATCGAGAATGGCAATGGAAGACCAAAATGTGTTGTTTGTCTTCGAGTGTTAGTAAATGAAGCCAGCCAACCTAAAGCGGCATCTCATCACAAAGCACCCAGAGTTTTATCAGCATGAGGATTTTAAAGGGGTTCTTAAAAAAATTTTTACACCCCTATAAGGGTGCTTAGTTAATCTGATTTAACTAAGATTGTTTGGTTTCACTTGTCCTGGTGAAAGTAACACCCTCAATAGTGGCTTAGACTCCAATCTGAGCTGGGAAAAACCTGCACCCCAGCTGGGAGCAGAGACTTGGAAAATGATTTTCCTACTAAGACAATTTATCTCCATTATTTATTTATTTTTTTTATTTTTTTTAATTTGTCACTTGTCAGTACAACAACTTTCTACACCAGTGAACTTGCCTTACTTGATATTTAATTTATTATTTCACTTATTTCACGCAAGTTGGTGAACGAAGAGGGTGGTTTTGATGCAGTCTGCAGAGAACGCCGCTGGACTAAGATTTCCGTCAAGATGGGCTTTGCTCCAGGAAAGGCTATTGGCTCCCATCTGCGGGCACACTATGAGCGAATCCTCTACCCATATAACCTTTTCCAGACTGGAGCCAATCTCCCTGTACGTACTCTCACCTGTTTTCTTTTTACAGAGTAACAGTAGGCAGTCTGGTTCACAGCTGGCTGGATGTTTATTGGAAGACTCTGCAATCCATTAGTTTCTTCCAAGATGTACACAGGAGATGAACTCAGGAGCAATGACCGGGGACTGCTTGTTTGCAGGCTAAATGCACATGAAATTATTGGTTGGATTATAATGACAGAAAAATAATTATTTTAATGGAATAAATGGAATAAATAGCGTCACCATTCCCAGAAGATTCCACACGGAATCAGTGTGGATGGTCTAAAGAACAGGGCACCTATTTGTGCTTGTTGACCTTATATAAAATTTGCAAGTAGAGTAATTCTACATGTGAACAATGTCTCTATATTTAATCCTTACACTCATATTGTCAAATACCACTGCAGCTGATGGATTGAAAAGGAAAACTATCATAAGCACATCTAAACATTAATTTAATGGAACAACAATTATATTATCTGTCAGACACTCCCACGTCTTAATAATACAGCTGTGATACTAAGAAGGTTGTTAACTTGCAGTGTCAGCATTTTTGCCAGCTTTCCTTCCTGGTTTTAAATAGGCTAAACTTTATTAATGTAGTAGACCTTTTCCAGTCTCACTGGCCAAAGAGCTTTTCGGTGCTTATCCTGTTACAGACATTCGTACCACTTATTTGTAATATACTTTAAGCTTGTTTTATGTGTTAATTCTCCATATTTTTCTAATAGATTTAGCTTTCTTTGTAAAGCCAGCCATTCAGCCAGTGGACCTGTCCATGTTTGTTACTGGTCAGATGCCATTAATGTCACCTCTTTCATGTTAATGTGCTGGTAGCTAGATTGGGGAAACCCTGGGTTATACTTACTGAGTTATGCGCTCAGCTTCATGTGACTACGTAACCTGATTGTTGATCTTAGGGTAAGTGAAACCAGATAACAGACAGGACATCCTGGTTATGTTAAATTGGCCTTGTAGTACAGACCTCAGGACTACAAAGCATGTAGTACTGTTGCTTAACCTTCATCCAGTACACACCAAAAACGGTGCAGTTCAGTCTCTTGACAGTGTCTTGAAAGCAAATGAGTATGAAGGAATTTTATTTGCACTTGATGTGCTTTTATTGTAAAAGTTTCCACTATGTAAATTCAAGTGTTTTATGACCTTCCATTATGCACACACCAAAATAAGGTGTTGTCAGAGTGACTTTTCCAGTGTAAGAAAGACTGATTTTATCCAACACAAATTCCTAAAAGTTCAAACTGGGGTTCTGTGTGTTTAATTTGGTGTCATTCACTTCTTCCTACAGGCAGCCACCTTGACCAATGACACTAAAGATAAGGAGTACACCCCTCACGACCTGCCGCAGCGCCAATCTGTCCAGCCCCAGGAGACCTGCAGCATTGCTCGCCGAGCCAAACGAATGAGATCTGAGGTGAGTCTGTCATCTTTGACATTTCCCTCTGAATCATAACTTCTTTGTGTTATGGATTTTACTCTGAAATTCTTAAAACTCTATTTAATTGTTAGGCTTTGATTAACTCATTTTCACCTATAAGGTCAGGTCAATAATTGTTACTGGCTGCTGGCAGTAGAGTTTGTTCTCCAGATTTGTGGTTACTTTAAACAACGATGGCCTCCTTTAACCATCTGATCTCCAGCGAAGCTAATTGATGCCTTTGAAGCAGGCAAAGGCTATAAAAAGGTAGTTTACACTGACTGTAATGGAGGATAAAGGAACTGTGAAAGTTGCAGCAAAACAGCAGGAACCAGAAAACCACATGTCTGCTGGGCATTTAGGCAAAACACAACTCCCTGTTGACTGCAGAAGAACTGCAGGAAGGCTTAGCTGACGCATGAGTAGTGGGCACTGTTCCAGTGTGCAGCATTCTTAATGACTCTGCTGCATGCGTTTTGTTTTTTTTTAATTTAAATTTATTATTAATTTTTTTTAAATAAAGTGTTGTGCATTTGTCTTGACAGACTTTTGTTTCAGCTCTAAAACAAGATGTTTCTATGTCTTGTCATTATGACAGCATTTTACTAGTTATATTCCCACATTAGTTTTGAAAGTACAGCTGACTCTGTTTCTGACTCTTGCTGCAGAGGGGCTATGTCAAAAGTGAACCCAGAGAAGTTCGTGAGACTCGTCCCAACCTGAGGAGGAGGATGGGAACATTTGTTGCCAAGCCAGAACCTGGTAAGAAAAATAAACCTGACCTGTACTGATATATTTATAAATAGAAATAATTGGTTTGTGTAATGGGTCTGAATGTTATTGGGGACTCCTGAAGCCTCCAATCAATCTTCGTCCTTGTCTTTCAGTGAGAATGGCAGTCACTGAGGTGAAAAAGGAGCCCATTGATCACAAGGATACAACTGAATATGAAGAAACTGTATTAGATAAAATTATCAAACCTCCAGTGAATAAAGTAAATGTTTCCCTATGTACTAAATTTATTGGCCAACTACTTTTTGTTACATGATTCAAACATGGATCTATTTTGTACACAGTACATCCTCATAAGTGTTCTGTCTCATCAGGTGGACCACTACATGTGTCTGGTGTGTGGCAGTGGAAGCGCTGAGGACCGCCTGCTATTATGCGACGGCTGCGATGACAGCTATCACATCTTCTGTCTCATCCCTCCGCTCCACGATGTTCCCAGAGGTGACTGGAGATGCCCCAGGTGCCTGGTTGAGGTGAGCTATACCTCCTGCCCCCTCAGGAAGCTCAAGTCACCGTGAACTGGAGTGTAGTCTCCCATCTGACATGTACAATTATAGTATAATCCCAAGTGGCTTGTTTTAACTTCATATACAATCTTTTGGTTTTGACAGGAATGTGGCAAACCAGCTGTTGCATTTGGCTTTGAGCAGGCCAGCAGGAGCTACACCCTCCAAACTTTTGGAGACATGGCTGACTCCTTCAAGTCTGATTATTTCAATATGCCAGTTCATGTGAGTTTTCATCACACATACACTGAGTAGCCTTTAGTCTGTTTTGTTGATACTTGCAGTTCATTTTAGTCAAAAGTAAAGTCTTTAAGTTCCAGTTTCTTGTTTCTGTTTATTGATGTCAGCAGCTTAATAGTTTAGAAATGTAAGCGTGAAGGTTCTCTATATACAACAAAAACGGGCTAAATGGACACTCACTGAATAATTCTTCTTTTTCAAACCATTCTCTATAAACAGAGGTGGTTTTGTGGGGAAGATTTCAGCACATGAAATCCTCAAACCAGTCAGACTGGCACCTACAACCACACATGTTCAGTGTCATTTAAATCACCTTTCTTCCTCATTTGCGATACTCATTTGTGATAGCTGCTGCCATGTGATTGGCTAATTAGACACCTGCATTAACAAGCAGTTGACCAATGACTTTATGCTATAATAATGTCTTTTAACCAACGATCAACATAAATGAGAATTTCATCATATTTTTCAGCTCAAACATATGAGCACTAATATGAAACACATACTAGATTAAGTTATTACTAATTACAATTATGATAAGTTGGGGAAGTGGAAGGAATTTATTTAAATTTATTTCACTATTCAGAAATTTTAAACACACACATACAGGCCATGATAGAAATAGAATAACAACAATCAGAAGTGAAAACAAAACAAATTGAGAAATTCTTTAATATGCTCCAGTTTGCTTCTTTTTTTTTTTTTTAACCACGTTGTAAGCAACTTTGAGTATTTCTTACATTTCTTACCAGAAGTGATGTAAATCTAGTTTTCCCACAACTTTGTTTATTTATGCTATTGAATGTCCTCCAAATGTGACAGCTTGCACAATCAAAACAGAGGCTGCACTGGCTCTTACTAACTGCTCTGTGCGCAACACCATAACGATGTACAAAATTAAAGTATTCCAGTGCACGAAAGTGCCGTTTTCATCATAAACCAGTTGTTGTTGTTTTTTTAAAAAACAAGGAAAACGGCCCTGGATTCCATTATGATTATAAATGCTTTAATATAAATCCTTCATTTATTTTTTTCTTAATTCTATTAAGATGGTGCCTACTGAGCTGGTGGAGAAGGAGTTCTGGCGTCTAGTGAGTACCATCGAGGAGGATGTGACTGTGGAATATGGAGCAGACATCGCCTCCAAGGAGTTTGGGAGTGGTTTTCCCGTGAGAAACGGCCATTTTGAAGTTTCTCCTGAGGATGAGGTACAAATTGTCTGTCATGGGAATGTATTGTGCCTTCTCTCTGTGAAAATGCTTTTTCTCCTTTTGTTTTCTTTAAAGCATTAAATATCAATAAACAATAGAAAAAAAATATATAGTTGTCTATATAAGACTAATATTTTTATGTATATTAATGTTTTTAATTTCTCAAAGCATGGTAACTTTTACAGCTGAATTATCACCAAAAAAAGTGGTGTTAGATTTCTGGCAGGCAACAGTAAAAATAAGCGTGACTGATGTTTGCAGTCGCATATTTAAAGCTTTCTGGGCTATATCTGAGTGAGTGGAGTATTTAGACCTGTGTCTTACCCGCAGCATTACCTGACCAGCGGCTGGAACTTGAACAATATGCCGGTCCTCGATGCCTCGGTGCTGACTCACATTACAGCCGACATCTGTGGCATGAAGGTACCCTGGCTGTACGTGGGCATGTGTTTTTCCTCTTTCTGCTGGCACATCGAGGACCACTGGAGCTACTCCATAAACTATCTTCACTGGTACAGTGGACTTTTTAACTCTATTGTGTAACTGTGATGATGATGATTTTTAATTTGGGAGTTTGGATTTTTTATTTTTTAAACTCTAAAAGCAGTTTTGTGTGTGTGTATATGTGTACATTAGAAACGCATCTCATCTGAACTTCAAAATCAAGGAAAAACCAAACGGACAGGAGCGTGTCACTCCATTGTGGAACTTATTTATAATGCATAAAACTGTGTTACATGCGGGGTTACTGTGATTGGGGGTTTTTTTTGTTGCTAAGAGGTTTGTCCACATGTGCAGGGGTGAGCCTAAGACGTGGTATGGGGCTCCTGGTTATGCTGCAGAGCACCTCGAAGCGGTCATGAAGAAACTAGCTCCTGAGCTGTTTGAGTCTCAGCCAGACCTCCTTCATCAGCTGGTCACCATCATGAATCCCAACACGCTGATGAACAACGGCGTCCCGGTAAATAAAAACAGTGAAGACAAATTTGCGCATACATGATTTTCTCACACAATTATGGAAATCAAATTAAAAAGATTTAAATGTCAACATTGTTTAAACTGTTTTACTCATTTGTTTTGAGATTGAATTCATTTTAAAACGACTTCATGGAACATTTCTTTCTTGTATTTTCACCTGTAGATTTATCGCACCAACCAGTGTGCAGGTGAGTTCGTCATCACTTTCCCCAGAGCTTACCACAGTGGATTCAACCAGGGTTTCAACTTTGCTGAAGCGGTCAACTTCTGCACAATGGACTGGGTAAGAAATGTTTGTACTGTATCACATAATACTATACTTAGTTTTCAGTTTGTTTCACTAAGCTTAATCCAGGATTAGACCCTAAACAGAAGCTTGTTGTTACTAATATTACTGTTTTGGCGCCACATGATTGACTCATTCCTCCTGAACACCCCTTGATCTCCATGTTTTCTGATAGATGCCCCTTGGCCGTGGCTGTGTGGCTCACTATCGTCAGCTGAACAGATACTGTGTCTTCTCCCACGATGAGATGGTTTGCAACATGGCCATTAAAGCTGACACGATTGATGTCAACCTGGCCGCCACTCTGCATGAGGATATGGTTATCATGATCCAACAGGAGAAGGAACTACGAGAGAAAATCACTAAAAAGGTGAGGAGCTTCATCCTCAGTATCCAGTGTTTTTAAACATGCACATTACAACCATCAAAAAAGAAGCACAAAATAACAGATTTCCTCTATCAGACTGAAATAAGGGAGAACTTAAAGTTTTTAAAGATGTTTGTCACAATAGAAGTTTCCACTCGAGAGATCTTGTTTTTTAGGTACACATATGTCACATTTGGCTCCTCTGTCTCTTGTGCTGCTCTAACGACTGAATCTGTGTCCCCAGGGTGTGATGCAGTCTCGACAGGTTGATTATGAGGTGCTCCCAGACGAGGCGCGGCAGTGTTTCAAGTGTCTGACCACCTGTTACCTGTCTGGCATCACCTGTGCCTGCAGTCCTGACAAGATGGTTTGCCTGTACCACACCCAGAACCTCTGCTCTTGTCCTCCTATCAACCTCACACTCCAGTAAGTAATTAATCAGAGGAACACTGCATACTCATTTTCATATTCATTTCTCTTCTCATGTACCGTACTGTCACAGCTGTGTGGCCTACTTTAAATGTTACGTGAAGTAAAGGTTGGACCAAGTTTTCCCTGAAAGCAAAAACATAAAAAATTAAGCACTGTTTCACAAAACAAGTAACTTATACTTTCACCAACTACTAGTCAACCTACAAATATTAAGCTGTGCAAGGCCAGCCTGCCTTTTTTATAAAGACAAGGTTTGGAGCTTGCAATGTTTGGCAGAGGCGATTATGACTTTCTGCTGAAAACTGACATGGCAGTTATCAGTTTATTCACCAAGTTTTGTTTTTCTTTTTTCGTCCAGTTACAAGTTTACACTGGATGAGTTGTACCCATTGATGGCATCTGTGAAGCTGCGTGCCAATTCATATAAAGACTGGGTGTCTAATGTCCAGGACATTGTGGAAAACAAAGGAACCAAGAAAAAAGGTGCCACCACAGTGATGCACTTTCTGTAATCTCAGCGAGTTACTCAAATGTTAACGTGTAGTTTGGACTCTTCTAACGAACTCTTGTTTTTCCTGGTTAGGGTTGGAGGATCTTCACATCCTGGTAGAGCAAGCGGAAACAAAGGCGTTTCCTCAAAGCAGCCTCCTGGATCAGCTGCGTACAATTGCCTCAGAGGCCGATAAAGTTTCTGTGACGGCACAGCAGCTTCTCAACGGGAAGAGGCAGACGAGGTACTGAAATCTGATTTGAAATGTTCCACGCTGCTCGTGGCTCCATCTTTAGTTCTGTGAAACGGCCATGTTGATTCAGTTTCACACAAGATATTACACAATTATGTCATGTTCTTGTTATTTTCTGGAACAACCTGTTTTGTGGGACAGCTTTCCAATTTGTGCTAGTGTGAGCTTACTCACATTTATGCAAATTGCTGTTGTTGAGCTTATCTGCTCGGCCGTTTTCCTTTTTTTTTTGCCAGTCAAAGTGCTAAGTGGTGTGTAAATCAGTTTTAATCTGTGTTTCAGGTACCGCTCTGGGGGAGGCAAGTCCCAAAGCCAGAATGAGTTAACTGTGGAGGAGCTGAGGTCATTTGTCAAACAACTGGACAGCCTGCCATGTAACATCCGACAGGCTCCTTTACTGAAGGTTTGTTTATTTAAAAAGTAAATACAATTTTTAATTGTATAAATTTAATTATTCCAAGCTATTAGTCTCTTGAGAAAATTGCTTCAACTTCAGTCCTTATGTGTCCAAGGTTTGGCAGTATCTCTAGACTTTAGATTTGTAAGGTGTGGCCGAGGTAATATTGCAACGTCATACCTGTTGGATGTGATCTACAGGATCTTTTGACTCGGGTGGATGACTTCCAGCAGCGCAGTGAATGCCTCCTTTCTGATGAGTCACCCAGCGCACTGGAGTTGCAGGACCTGCTGGATGTGAGTCTGGGCCTGGACGTGGAACTGCCGCAGCTACCCCTTCTCAGAGAGAGACTGGAGCAGGCTCGATGGTTGGAGACCGTTCAGCAAGCCAGCAGTCGGCCGGAGAGCTTGTGTCTGGACACGATGAGGAGGCTGATAGACCAGGGTGTGGGCCTGGCCCCTCACAGCTCTGTGGAGAGGGCCATGGCTCGTCTGCAGGAGTTGCTGACAGTGTCAGAGCAGTGGGAGGAGCGAGTGCTCAGTCTCCTGGAGGCCAGGTGAGGATATGACGGTTCACATCTTCTTTCATGCTCACATCGTGATGACAGAAGGCAGAAATGAAGAAAATCCAAGGTTATTGCAACTAATGAACTCTATGAAAATGCAGTAAAATTCACATTTTGTGTTGTGTGAAAGTGTAAAACCAGCTGAAAACTTCAGACGGAGTGAAATGTGCCACATCTGTAGAGCTGGGTCGTGGTGGATAAAAGTGGATTATGGTGCTGTGACAGGCAGGCGAACATTTTTCTTGTAAAACAAAGGGGGACCTAGCAAAAAAAGTTTGGGAACCACTGGCTTAACCCATTAATAGATAAACATAAACCAAATACTACAAATGAGCTTATGGTCTTTCATTTTTAGAAATGTCTATTTTATTTCTTTATCACTTGTATAAAACCTAAACATCTACACTGTTTTCTAACCCTGACGCCTCTTCACAGGCCATATCAGGGCATAGAAACCCTTGTAGCTGCTCTGCAGGAAGTAGAAAACATCCCTGCTTATCTGCCCAACTGTCTGCAGCTGAAGGATGTCGTCACCAAGGCCAAAAAATGGCTCCATGAAGCTGAAACACTGCAGGTAAAAATCATACTTTATGCTTTCAGTACTTTAGTTTGAGTAATGGGTGAAACTGAATTATTAATCTTGTCTGTGCTTACAGCTTGGGGGACGTATTCCTGTGCTCGACATTCTCTCTGAGCTGGTTCTCAGAGCAGAGGGCATCCCAGTGAAGCTCGACCCGCTCAGTCGACTGGAGGCCCTTGTCAGTGATGTCAAGAGCTGGAAGGAGACGGCCGCAAAGACATTCCTATTGAAAAACTCCCCTTTCTCACTTCTAGAGGTAAATGCGTATGCAAATGTGGCTGACCAATTTAATCATTATGCATCAGTATGAAAATTTAGTGCCAGATATCACAAAACTACAAGTGTGGCAAATTACCTGAACTTGAAAAGCGCCTCTAATAGAATTTGTCATCATGTTTTCAGGTCCTCTGCCCAAGGTGTGACATCGGATCTGCACATCAGAAGTCAAAATCTAAAAAAGTGAAAGAAGCTCCACAGATCATTAAAAAGACTTTAACAAAACTGGACTCTTTGTGTGATGTAGAGAGAGCTCTCTCTGAGAGTAAGGACTCTGCCTCTGCTGTAAGTATGGCTGCATCAAATTTTCTTTTTCTCTGGTAACTTTTTCAGTATAGTTAGGCTAAAAACCAGCTCTTGTATAGTTTCCTTTACTCCAGAATCCTTCTTTGTTAAGAAGTGCTGTTTTTGTTTTTTTGTTTTCTTTTTAACTTATAAACAGATAAAAACGGATCTTTTTATTTATTCACTTGTTCTTCTTTACTCTGTCAGTAAATATTGTCTATGAATGCCATTTCAACCATTTAACCTAGTATTAGAAGCAGTGACTCTGACTCTATCTTGGTCACCTTTAGTAGGTTAACCTAGCATTAAACGAGGTTTAGTAGGCACAAATCTGTGTAACGATGAGTGGAGGGTTCCTCAGAAAATGAATGGGGGGAAAAATATGATTTCCTTTATTAGAAGTCTCATCAGGGAAAGTTCATATATTAATCGAGACATTGGTATTAGGCTTCAGATTAGTTTTTAATTTCATCTAATTTTCTCTCCTCACAGATGACCACTCTCGCCGAGGTCCGACAGAGGGAGATGGAGATCTTACTGTCTCTGAGGTCTTCAAACGAGTCAAAGCTCCTTCCTGCTGAAAGCTGTTGTGCACTTAGTGTTTGTGTTTGCCAAAAGGCTCCCTCAGGAGCCATGATGCAGTGCGAGCTCTGTCGAGACATTTTCCACTGCGGGTGTGTTACAACAACCGCAGAACTTGAGTACGGTCAGGCCTGGCTATGCCCGCTGTGCCAGCGGTCGAGAAAACCACCTCTGGACAAAGTCCTGCCCCTGCTGGCCTCCCTTCAGAGGATTCGGGTCCGCCTGCCAGAGGGCGACGCTCTGCGGTTCCTCATCGAGAGGACTGTGAGATGGCAGCACAGAGTCCAGCAAGCCTGCGCAGATGGAGTACTCGAGAACGTGTCAAAGATGGTCAGTGTCTTTTATTGTGTAAACATTGTTGTTGATTTAAGTTAAGCGTTTGTGGTCTGAATTATTGTGATTCACCATCAGGAGTCCTGTTTTCTAGACACCATCATGGAAACACTAGACACTGAGCATTTACAGTCACTGATGGCGTTTTTAATTGTTTCAGGTGAGAGTTGGACCTAGAGAGTCTTCACATTTGCCTCAGGAAAAAAATGGGTCAGCTTTTTATACAGAGCACAAGTCTGTTCCGCTCCACGGTAAGTGTCAAAGCTTTTTCATTTAAGCACTCTGTGCAGTTTCACTTTTCAGAGCAACTCTGATGCTCATTTTGTTTTAATTTTTCACAGGACTTAGTCCTGAGCTGGAGGAGCTGATGGTGGAGGGATTCCTGCTGCAGGTCACTCTGCCTGAGACGGAGCAGCTGTACAGATATCTACTCTACAAACTGGTCCCCCTGCCCTCACAGAGCCCTCCCTGTGGGAACAGCACAGAACAGGACCAGAAGTCTCCAAAAGGGAGCCCTCAACACAAGGTAACAGCTCCTACTAAGTGTCACACCAAATGCATTATGCCATAATGCTCTTGTTTATTAAGTCCACTTTCCGTATGTTGTGCTTAGAATGGCGTGTCGAGCTTGAAAAAGGAGGCCGTGAACAGTCAGAGCAAGCGGACCAAGCGACGTAAGGACAGCTCCGATTCTCAGCACAGCGAGAAGGCCAAGAAGTGTCGCAAGAAAAAGCCCAAGAGAAGCAAAGAAAGGACCGAAGAATCGAAGAGAAGCGGTTCGCCCACGCACACGTCATCTGACCCTGCTCTTTCAGATTCAGAAGAGGACTACTCGCTGTGTGCTGCACCGTGGTGCAGAGAGCCAGAGGGTGATGAGGTGAGTTTCATTAGTCTGCTGCATTTACGCCAACTTATGTAAATACTTATGTGCCTGTATAGCTGAAGTTTAAGTGTACAAAGTGAAAATTTATTGTATCTCGTCTTGTCATTTTTAGGTAAACTGGGTCCAGTGTGACGGCAACTGCAATCAATGGTTTCACCAGATCTGCGTCGGCCTGTCTGCTGAGCGTGCGGAGAAGGAGGATTATGTTTGCATAAGCTGCACACAGCCAGAATACAGCAGAGCAGAATAAAGACCAAAAAGTCATGTTGAAGGATGAGCAGATTTACTGCAGATGCTGCAGCACTTAAGTGCACACCTGAACTCTGTGTGTCCTGCGGCTTCTCCCCTTTACCTTCTGGCTTGCCCTCAGTGAACATGGTGCTACTTCTTTTTCCCCAGAGTTACTAAAGACTTCTGTCACTGTTTTGTTTTGTTTGTCACATGGCTGGATTTTCAGCCAGTCAACTAATCCTTTCTGAAACTTTCCAAGACTCGATGCAGATGTGGTAACGTGTTTCAAGAACCAACAGCGCAGGGATTTTTCAACCAAAAAATGTCAGTTTGGCATTTTAGAACAGTTTGTTTTTCTTTTACATGCATCTGAACAATGTGAAACTTATCTTTTTTTCTTGTAGATTAAATATTATTTATCTAAGCAATAGCTGAACAGATTAATTGAAGGTTCAGTTTTCACCTGAGCTATATTTGTGCGTAGAAAAACTTTGATAAAATGCCTTCCTAAAGCAAAAACCCTGAAGAATTCACTTTATGACCCTATGATACCCAGTTCACTTCAAATTTGTGTACACGTCAAAACCGAAATGGATCAACGATCCTTTCACAAACCACTGACTTTGATCTAAAGTCAGGTTTTCCTTCTGTGATGTCTGCAGAGGAAAGTAAAAGTCCTGGATCCCATATTCCTGCTGTTGGGTGAGACTCAATTAAAGCCACAAAGTAAGAATGAACTGTCCGACATCAAAGGAATGTACATGTTGTTTTTTGGGTGGATTTTCCCTTTATGGCTGAGGCTGATATATGTGTTGGACTTAGATTTAACACAGACTGTGTGATTTATTTTGCCACGGGTATATGACCTTTTTCCTGCTCCTTTGGGTAAATAATATAATTCATATGTTGCAGTTTGCATTATAAAATAAAACGTTTGTTCCTGTACGGCTGGACTCCTCAGTACTCGGCATTGAATACCATGAAAGTTAGTTTGTGGATTTTCAGCTGTTTTTTGTTTGTTTTTTAAATTGTGTATATATATTTTTTTTTTTTTTCCCCCCATCCATTTTGGAAGAGGAAAAGATGTTCAGTGATCCTCAAGTCGACAGGAAATTAACACAGGTCACAGGTAAACTGATCGCTTCAGAAACAGTCATTTCAACCTGTTGGGGAGACTTCAGAATTTATTTCATCTCCTTCGCTTAATAACTGTGAGCTTGTAGCATACTTCATTCAATAGAAAACACAAACTTGAGTGGGGGGGGGGGCATTTATTTGTGATTGTTTAACAGACACAGGTATTCATTGCCACTAATATAATTCCTCACATGTAAATTCAATTAACTGCAGAAAGCGCTCAGCATACACACACTATCACAGGCTCCAGTGTCTGCTGGCAAGCCAAAAATGAAATTCACTTGAGTTCTTTCTCAAGCACAACTTTTGACATACTATTCTTTTAAAACCCAATAAAGGGTTGTTTAGTTGGCTATCCTGTTTATTTGAACCGTTCGTAATTTATAAGTCTATACTGTACTCTGTGGCTCATATGTTTAGATACACTAACTTTGTAAAAATTAATATATAGCCCTAATTTGTGGTCAACGCTAACGTACAGGGAACAGTATGCTACAAGATACAGGTAAGAAGGCTGCTGCCCAAAGAGGAGAGGAGTTGTGCATGAGTCTGATGGCTGAGCCAACAGGTATACATCACGGGTGGTCTTACTGAACAACATGTGGATGGAGTCTCCACCAGATTTATTTATTCTATTGAATGAATTATAATAATAAAAAAGAGTGATCTATGCACGTTTTCAGCAGAGTCTGAACCAATCTTTCAGAATTAAAAACAAAGTACTAATTTCTGCAATGTAGTATATGACCAATAGAGGGCGTCAAAGTAAAGGCATAAATTACATCGTCCATTCCCCAACTCTCTGTGAATGGTACTCATGGCCTTTCATCAGTGGGCCTTGATCAGTGGTTGTTGATCAATGGTCATGAGAATTTGCATAGTTAGGATGAAGGAACTGACCTCACAAGGATGTTAAACTCGTTTTTTTTTCGTTTTTTTTTTTTTATCAAGGGCCACATACAGCCCACTTTGATCTTAAACCGGCCAGACCACTGAAACCCTCCTTTCTATTGTTGTAAATGACGATTACCTGCACCTTTAACCCCTGAAATAGTTTAATATAAGAAAAAGAAGTACTATTCTGACAGTATATCCTACATTTTCCACATGATATAGAAATTCTGCTGGAGGAAATGAAAGAAATCTTTCAGTGCTATACTTTGGGCTTAAATTTTAAGAAATGTGTAAAATTACAGAAGAAATTCTGGTAACTCAGCCCAGACAGTCTGTGTTCTTCTCTAAAGTAGACAAGGCAGGACGTGGATACTCTCAGTTTTGACAGACTCACTTAGTGCACACTTAAAATAGTTTAGGCCTCTGTAATGCATGCATGCAAATCTAAAGAAACTATTTTCACATCCTGTAAAGCTTTACCATCTGCACCTTCTGTAACATATTTTCACTAATCTAAGAGATCATTTTTGTTGGTCTAATGCTATTTTACTCGACAGTCCTGCTGTCGGTTATAATGTGCAAAATGTAATATGTGGACTTTTAGTGCCTTCAGAAATGCCTTAAACAGTTGTGCTAATTATATGAACTACTTAGTTTATATTAGTAAGAAGTAAATAGTAAACATTCCTCTGGTTTTTACAAAGGTCTACCTGAAGATAAATTGGTCACATGCAGTACTATGCAAATATTTTAATCACTCCTCATTTCTTTATATTTTGTTTACAAGAAGCCAGAGTTTCTATTGTTTTATTTCTTTTAAGTGCTCTTGAGCAATACTTCACAAAGCTTTCTGAATGTCTTCTTTTTACCTGACCATTTTCAAAGGAATGGGGTTTTTTTTGTTTGTTAAACCAAGAAGGCTGCAGAACTATTCCTAAAGACTACTTAAAAAATTATGAGAAAGCTTGCCTAAGACATCTGAGATTCCAGTGATTGTACCAAATAGTGGCTTTCGAGTTCATTAGCATTGCACAAACTCAGTTTTTCCCTTATATGTTGTATTTCCATTTATGTTTTTAAAGTTTAAATAAATCACTGCACCCTTTTCCAGTTTTCCTTGCAAAAGTTTACCATTTTAAGTACTAAACAAAGGAAACTCCAATCGGTTTGAGCCTGAAAGTCTAAACTCAGGGAGAGATCCCACGAATGGGGGCGTGGCCTACAGCCTCGCCATTTTCCCCCTGTGTTGTTGTTAGCTTGCTGGCTAAGCTGACTGTCAGCCCGGTTTCTGCAGTTAAACGAGTCAGTGCATGATTTAAATACAACAGGTGTGTTATTGCAGCGGTTACCAACGTCCCTGCTTTCCCCGTGACCATGGACGAGGAATATTACAGCGGTTCCGGAGACTGGGAAGGCACGGAGGGTAGCATGGTGAGATCGCGACTTGTTGCTGTTTGGCTCTCTGTTAGCTAGCCAGCATTAGCATCGCTGGAGTCACAGCAGCTGATGATTAATTGTCAGACCCTCGTTATCTTTAATACAAGAGCTGATGTGCTGAGACAAGTGCTTCCGGTACTCTAAAGATGCATTGTATAGTCTAAACTCTGGCTTTGTTAGCCAGCTGCAGGCTAACTAACGACACAGCTGCTTCATGTTCATGTTACAAACTGGTGATCAACTCGCTATAGGTTCAAGTTTGTTTTATTTCTGACTAAAATATCTGATAAAATAAATTGATAAAACATATTTTATCTCTGATTTGGAACAACAGAAAACAGAATCGACTGTTTTGATAGTGTTCACACAGTCGTGGTTACAAAGGAGAAATCGCACCTGTGTCAATTCTAAGGTTTTGTAAATCAGGACATGATAAAAATTGACCCACTTTGGGCCAAGCTTTAGCTGTTGGACCATTTGACTCTAGAACACTTTGGTATACCGAGGAGCTCATAGTTGACTCAATGTTTACAAGACGCTCAGGTCCTGTGGCTGCAAAACGAGTCCAAATCATCAGCCCTCCACCACGAACTTTAACCTTTAACATGATAACTGAAGTCTGTAGAGTCTGAGATGTAGTTCTTGGGTTTTTGCAGTTTTTCTGAGCATGGCATGCTCTGACTTTGAGGTGAATTTGATGGGATGGGTTTTCTGGGGAACAGAGACACCTGAATTCTCCAGAGCAGCAAACTGCCAGTTAGGGCTGCCACGATTGGTCGACTAGTCACGATTACGTCGACTATCAAGATCGTCGACGGCTGATTTAATAGTCGATGCTTGTTTGAAGCTTTGACGCAAGAATAAGTAGTAGAATTTAAGAGCGTAATAACGGACTGAAGTAGAAGATGGTAGCACTGCATGTACAAGGATGCCAGCTGCCATTAAACCCTGAAGAAGAAGAAGAAGCTGTGTGTGTGTAATCAACATCGTGAGTGAAGTATTGTGATAACGCATCGTGCAGTGTCTGGTGATTGTCACTTCTAGGAACGGATGGTTTTTATTATGTCCTCATATATAAACTATGACTGTAGAAGTTAAGTTTGCCTTCAATATGCCACCTTGTTCCGTTTTTAGTGTGCATGTTTTTCAAACAGTAGTAAATCAGGATAAGGTGATAGTCACATAGACCTGTATTCAACTAGAAGAGACAAGAAAATAAGCTCAAATTGTTAGAGCTGTGTGTTTTAAGCGAAACTTCTGCTTAGTTACTGAACTGAAGCACAAACCTGATGTCTACATATCTGTGTCTTTTAACTTGGATGATTATTAGGAAACCTGCTCAGAGTCTAATAATAACATCTTGTATAGCACCTGTCGATTCTCCTCTACCTTGTAGCTACACCATAATACGTCACTATATGCAAATGAGAACCAGAGTATTACTTATTATTCCCAAGATAGATGAATCACTTTAGAAGCATCTGCATCACTGTGTATTTCAGGAGGATGGTTACGGTGAAGGAGAAAATGATGGGAAAATCCAGGAAGCTTGCCTGGAGAAATTCTCCAGCAGGGATTACATCATGGAGCCTGCTATCTTCAGCACCCTCAAAACGTAAGTGTCTGCACTCTCATGTAAATGTAATATAAGTTTTGTTAAAAATACATTTATTGATTAACAACCATGTTGTTTCTGCAGGTATTTTCAAGCAGGTGGCTCTCCAGAACATGTCATCCAGCTTCTCTCTGAAAATTACTCTGCCGTGGCTCAGACTGTTAATCTGCTGGCTGAGTGGCTCATCCAGATGGGTACCTGTCAGACTACTCGTCTTACTGTTGTTGTGTCAGAAAGCTATTTTTAATTTGTCTTACTGATGGCTTTTCATTAATGTGTAATGTAAT